CAGAGGGTGATATAGATTATGAGCAGAGAGGATAGACTCCTGGTATGAGTATTTATTCTGGGTCAGGCGTATACCACGACCTGGGAACCATTGACAGACTTGCAGGAGGGAAAGGATCCGGAAACTCTGATAATGGTCTCATTAGGATCATGGGGTCAACATTGCTCCAGTCATTGAAGATCAGGCGGTAATTTCTTGGAAGCACATCCTGATCACTGTCTTGTATTCCTTCCCATTTCACCTGCCCCAGCCTTCCTCCTTGGTCCCCTCCAAGCCAGTTTTGATTAAATGTTTGGATGTGAAGCTTAATATCCTTTTCTGAATTAAGGAATTTGAGTTTCTCTTTGAAGGATTCCCATCTGGTAGTAATTTCTACTTGAATTTGTTGTTTGATGGTTTCTGTAAATTCCGGACCATCAAGACGAGCACCTTCCATTTCGTAAGTAGACCTGCGCCTCCATAATGCCCAAATGACTGCCCTTCTTCCTATTATGAATAGATTGGATGTGAAGTTCTCCACTTGAATTGGGTTCCAGGTCTCAAGGAGAAGCGCTTTCCAGCTCCATGGCCAAGGGAGGGATATTTCTAAATGATTCCAAATTTTGTCCCACCAGCGCCATAATCATACTGATCCTGGACATTGCAGGAAGATGTGTTCAATAATTTTCGGAATTAGTTTGGATGGGAATGCAAATTTACAAAACTTACACCAGGGCAGGGCTATTCCTTTTTGTTCAAGCGAGGTTCTGTCAATAATCCAGTCGTTGGTGGGTAAGCATCGGTGAGTAATTTGTCATTGTAGTGATGTCATTTTAGCCGGTCTAGCTTTAATAGTATGGAACCACTTTACTGGTCTCAATTCTTCTTTACTTACATTTAAGTGTCTCATCCATCGATCCTCTATTCTGTCCTTGATATTTACCTTGGGCCGCAGCATCCTGTAAGTGGACTTGACTGACAGTGTATGAAGCATTGTAGTGTGAGAACTACCTTTGCCAGTCAAGGATGACCAAGACCAACA